AAAAACATTATGGTAACCCTACCTATAATGCATTAATATCAACTGCACACCGATACAATAATATTAACTATTAACACAAATACACATACATACAATTATAAGGCCTATGGCCAAGACACATAATTAATGTTAATGAAAGTTAATTAATTATTTAATTTAAGTTAATTAATTAATTAATGAAAGTTAGTTTACAATGCTCCTTAAACCACAATACACTACCAGCGCTGAATTCCGTAGAACTACGATACATTGTTACTACTTTGTAAGTAATATTATTTTTAGCACAATAAACCTAAATTATAACTTAAATAGAATCCTTTTTATTTAAATATATTTTAAGATTCTGATACCTTWTATCTCCCAGCTATGCCGCTATGGTAATTGTATCTATAGAGCACTACCMCTCTTACTGGGTATCTTATATTTAACTGGTCGTTTTAACTGGTGGTTGACCACGTTACAATGTCAAGTCATTTTTTAGTCAATGTCAATATTATGTTTTAAATCAAAATTGAAGGAAATGTTATGATGCATCGAGTGGTAAGTGATAAGGTTATTATACCATGGAATCTAATAATTATCATGTTATAAATTATTTTGACGTGAGAAATGAGTCAAATCTAAAACAGTTAAACGATCATAATACATTTTTATTGTCTTCTAAAAAATCAGCACTTTTGACTTGACAAGTTTTTCACAAAAAATACCGTCTAATCATATCTGTTGGTCGACTATTGAAAATAATCAGTTTCGTTTCTGTTTAGTTTAAGTTGAAATGTTCTCAAATGTTTCCGTCAAAAATGGCCAAGTATTTTTCTGATAGGTATATAAATAACCTTAACAACTATTCGCTTTACTTCAAATATATATATATTTAATAGCTGTTACTCAATTATACTTTTATATTAGAATAATATTATTTGCCAAAATTATAAAATACAATACAGAATTATATACCATAGTAATAACTAATAATGATCTTATTATCAATAACCAATACCAACACAGTGTAGAAACAATGAAAAATCGATTTTCGTGACTCGTGAGCCGAAACAAAATGCATGCGTGAACTGCCTCAAACACCCTATATATGTAAAAACCGAAGCTACAACCACTCATGGAATCTCAATCAATCTATTGATATAACTTTTATAGTAAACTGATAATAACTTAAAATAAGTCTATTGAAAACGAACGAACGAACGAACAAACAAACGTTCAATTGTATAGAATAGATTATTGAAACTTATTAAGCTTATATTATGTACCAAATAGTTAACATTTGAAAGATAACAATTTCCGGGGAAGTTAAATTATAGTTTTCCTGTTTATTATAATTAGTAATATGAATACCACTAGCAATATTTAGAGGTTATAACTCAAGCATGTCAACGACTATAAATATTCTAACTCATGTCTGTTATTCATTGTCACTTTTGATAACTTATATAACACCTACTCTATAATTGTTGAAACTTGAAATTAAGTATAAAAAACAAAATGATAATACAAATGTTTGTAGTAATCGGATTTTTTTCTTTGTCTCAATCAAAATACAGTTTTATGCCAAATTTGCCTGTGGTAAGTTAATTTGATTGACATGAATGTAATATAACATATTTTCCAAGATCGTTATTGATATACATAAATATTAATTAATAAATTAGATTTAYACAAAAGTTTACTTGTACCATATTAAATTATTAAATATAATATATCTTTATGCAGGGAGAATATCGTGTGGTGTTTGAAAAATTGTATCCTTGTGAACCAACAAAAAACTATTCAATTCAATTGAATATTTATTTTAGTAAAAAGACTTCAAGTTTAACAGAGATGAAAGGGAATATAACATCTTTAATAGATCTTGACGATACACTTACAGTAAGTAATAAGTACATAATGAATGATTCAACTTTAAAATAATGCAATGAAACTTATAAAAAACGAAGCTTCAACAACGAAAAAAAATTCTCACTGTAGATCAATGTGTTTAATAGAATCTGTAATTGCCATTTGGATTAATGAATTCAATAGAATGATGTGATGGTGAATTAAAAATTAAAAATTGATAGTATTGATTTATTGTTGAATTTGAATCAATAATTATAAATGTATAAAAACATTGTATACCAATAATAATTTAAGAATGAATACGTTCTACCGGCCTACATTACATTTGTTCTGACCTTTTTAAAACTATTGTGAATTTTTAACCTCTCAAAAGTACAAACTAGAGCCAATTTCCAACTAAAAAATTTACTGGAATTAAAAATCTATGCAATAATTCTTATAGAAAAAATAATTAGTGACAGAAAGAATATATATGTATGTACTATACTTTGTAATTTTCCAGATTGTCCTAATTAATGAATACATTTTATCGTTCCGCTAGGATCTAAAATAAAAATACAAATACTTAATGTAGTACTGGTTCAAAATTTTTAAATATTGATTAGAATAAATATAATTTTATTTGTCAGGTAATTTTGGAACACCTTGATTTAAAATATAAATTCTTGACAGACTGATGCATAATCAACATACAGCCGAACTACGAACCGATTAATTTAATATTTTTAGGGAATTTATAGTTTATACATATAATACTGATAATACTATGTACAGGCTTATAAGAAATACATTTTGAGAATTCGCATTTTAAACTAAGTATTAAACAGAATTCGGGCACTATACATATAATATAATATGTATATATATATAATATATTATAGTACCACAGGCCCACAGCTCACTTAGAGTTCATAAATGCGCAGCATATGGTGCACAAAAAAATTAGTACTGCCTGTCATGTTCCGAACGTCATTTTTTTTTTTTATAGTATCCTATCTAAATAATTCATAATTTTTTGAAATATCAAATTATTCATAACATGGGTGCAATTTTTATTTTATTATTTTATATAATATTAAAACTACACACATTTTTACCTAACCTAACCTAACCTAACAGTATAACGTTAAAAACCATTGGTTATAATGATGGTTATAAGCAACAAATCACGCATGATCTTCACGGAGGCTTTTGCTTATTTTTTGTGCCATATATGCCTTTTATAGTCGATAAAGGTATCCCATATTGGCCATATTTCCATTAGTTAGATCATAAAGAGTCCATATTTTATTTATATTAAATGACTGATATCACTTATTTTGATCAATGATCAAAGAAAAATCGACTAAAAATAACTGTCGGTATTAAATGTGTAAAAATATTTATTTTTTTAACTAAACATATTATAAATTGTGTTAATAATTATAGAGTGTTGTGTATACATTGATTACTACTTACTAGCTAAGTGAATGAAGTTCTTAAGCACCAGTGAACATATTATAATAGGTAGTTATGGTCCATGAGCTAGAAAAATAATAATTTCCACGTGAATAATTTCTATTGATTACCTTAGCTAAAGTAATATAGTATTGTATACATCAATATATTTATGTAGCTTGATATAAACGTTGCGTCTTGGGGTTCAATTGGTGGTTGGAAACCAAATTCTATGGTTTACATAACGAAAAAGGCATGTAGTGCTTTTAAAAATGTCGGAGGAAATGCATGGTTTTCATTTCTTAAAGGATTCAACATTCCGACCAACAACTGTCCTCTGCCAGCGGTAAAGTATAAAAATATCAAAAATAAAAATTGAAAGTATTATTGTTTTTAAAATAAAAACACTAAACAGTGTGTCCACTTCATTATCAAGTAGGTATTATGTATTTTTAACAATTGAACTCTACATTTGTATAGGGCACTTATAGTTCATCAGGGATTGACTCGAAGAAATTTGAAGATCATAACTTTCCTAAAGTTTATTTTTACGGAAAATACAAAATGGTGTATAATGTTAAAAATACAAAAAATATGGTCGTTTTCTGTGAAGTGGTAGAGTATACTCTTATACGACCATGGGAAGTAGCGATTTGAGTAAATTGTACAAAATAAGTATAGGTACAAAGTGTAACAGAACGATCTAACAAATTATATTGGCAACTTTGTTCTGACCAATATTTAAACATTTTTTATTTGTATTTTATAGATACTTGCACTAAAGTACACATGCTCAGTACAAYATATTTTAATTTAATTTAATCAAATTTATTTGAGGAAAAATTATAAAAAGCTAATATATAATCTATCTTTAAAAAATTATGAAATTAATTAATGAATTAATTTATTAACACCAGAATTTGAGTTGATTGAGGTGAAAAGAAAAAGCTTGGTTTAGAATAATGCACTAAAACATAAAATATTAACACAATAATAACGTTTGTTGAATTTTGGGAAACATACTCGTTTTTTAAGGTATATAATATATCAATTTATCATACTTATTATTATTACATATAACATAAACTTAAAACTTATTACCATGAACTAATATATTATATCATTAATATCATCAATTTATTAAATGTAAAGATTGAATTATAATCGTAAATAATATAGGTATTTGTAATAGCACCTGGTGTGCTGAAACATTTTTAAAGAATGAATAAAAAAAAAAATTTAATTATACAATTTTTTTACGATCTTTGTGTGGTGAAATGAAGATGGATGGATGTTGGATTGTTCGGGCTCCCGTATTTTATACATTGTGCACTATGCCACTATTGAGAATCAAAATATATGAATCTACGTCACCCAGTTAGCAGTTTKTGTGTTGTGTCCGAAATAATAATTAGGTACTTATTTTAATACCAAAAATTAAATTTAATGCTTGAAAACAAATTTATGTGTGACTCTTCCGGTGAAAATTAGCTGTGTGCTGCACCAATGCACCATAATATGTAAAGTGCAGATGTGCAGTAGGTACACGTACACCATCTACGAAGAAACAGCTATCTTCATCCGTCTTCATTGTCTTCATCTCGCTTCGAAATAAAACTTGAAAGTATCGAGTTATTTTATGAGAATAACCTGAACGAAATTAATTATGCAAGTATATATTTTATATTTTTTTATGTAATGAAGTTATTAAAACCACTAATCATATCCAGAGTTGAACATTATCTAGATAAATTATCTAAATAAATGATCTAGGTAAATAATTAATTATCCTTTATCTTATCTAAATAATAAGCAAAATTAGTTATCTGGTGAATTATCTTAGATTAATTTAATTGTTGAGTTATCTATTGCAATTCATCTAGATAAGTAAATATATTTATTAAAAAAATTAAAAAATTGAACTTGAAAATGAAAAACCCATGTCAATTAATGCAGAAYAAAATGAAAAACGTAAAGTATACGTAGTAATTTTCCATGCCAGCTATTTGTGTTATTTCTAAGTTCTAATTATATCCGTCCGATATTATAATATATTTATATACGGGCTACGGCCGAATATATTGCAACGGTGTGTCGTCGTGTCGTCGTGTAGACCATAAGCCATAATATAATATCTATATGGATAATATTATTATGAGCACAACACATAGAGCAATATTACTATATGGCACAACACTATACCGTAAAGTATACAACACACTACACAGACACAATTACACAACAATTATTATATTATATTGAGTAGCTCGCATAGTGACAGTGGCGTATTTACGGGGGGGGATATGGGGGWTAGRTCCCCCCCTTGACCTTTTTTTTTTTCCTAGGTAGCTAAGTTGTCTCATTTTCTCTAATATTCTTAATATGATATAATTATAAGTGAAATTACTTTCAAGCATGTATGTTCTAGTCGTGGTAATTGTAGTAATTGTACCGCTCTGATAGTCTGATATACTAATCGCCACTAATCGTTGGCGGCATGTACGACTATCAGGCAACAATAACTATACCTATATTATGGTGTACTGTATTTTGTACGTTTCTGYGAATTATTTTTCATGCAAGAGTGTTTATAATAAACCCGATAAGCAATCGGTAAACAAAACAAAATGACAGTGATGTATCTATAACGGTAATGTTAGGTTCTATTTTCATCTGTTCAATTCTACATTTCTAAATATAAATATAATCAACATAAATTAATGCAGATTTCCCGAAATACCCGAAATGGTATAGTTGTATAATAATGTAAATGTAGTTTTATATTAATAAATCCATATGGATTATAGACTATGTAATAACTAATAAGTAATAATAGTGTGTACAAATTCAATATAYCTATTACTATATTAGTAGTGTACACTGTATATTATTAAATAGTTCCGTATAAAAACTATTTTAACTAAAAATATTACTCCATTTCCATAAGTATTATATAAATTGTAATGTTTTGTTTTTTACAATTATAATATACAAAGAATGCATTTTATTAAAACTAAGTACTTATTGCTTATTTCCCAAATTTCCATACATAAATGTACATATTAATATTGTTGTTCAATATTTATATTGGAGGTACCTACAATGTTTTTCTTTTGATACAATCTGACTTAATTATAAACTTAAAATATAATTTATCAAATTAATAATGAAGATAAGTTTCATATTATAAAAATGATGATAAAATCTACACATTGGACCCAACATTCACAAATAAAAATACGATTTACTTTCTGACAAAAATAAATAAAAATAATTATCAATCAATGAAAATGAATCTTAAAATTGTATTCAAATTATATATTATAATTGTTGAATAACATATTTTAATTATTACATCAAAGTTAAGTTTATTTTATTTTATTTTTTAATTATAAATTGATAAACAAAAAAAAATGTAGATCAATATTAATGTGATTAAAAAATTTATCTTTTTTTTATCCAGATAAACAGTGTTTCATCTTTTATCTTTACCTACATAATTTAGATTTTAACTATTTTTTATCTTTATCTAGATAAATTTTTAGTTGTCTGTGTGCAACACTGATCATATCTGACGAATGTAATTTTCCGTAGATGATAGATTAGATATAGATATTAATAATATATTAATATGATATATTCATTATGCATAGATTTATAGAGTAATAGATACTTACTCACCTATGTACTAATTTTTTTTTGYTTATAGATTCAATGTATTTAGCAAATAATAATATACGAAACTGTTTTTTTTAATTATAATTGTATCTATAACAAAATGGGGAATTTCAATCATTATTTTTTAATTAAAATATCTCATTTTTTTAAAATTTGACATACCAAGTTGACAGTTGTACTCAGTGGCGCAATTTCAGTTTTTTAATAGGATTTCCAAGATTAATCTTGATTAAATTTAAGCAGGCCAAATTTTTTTTCGTCAGGCCACTTTTTCTTCAAAATAGTAAATACAGATATTGTTTATGTGTAAGTCGCTTGTGTGGAGTTAAACTCTTAAAGGATATAATTAAATGAATTCAAAATTCAAATTATTCATTAATAAATTTGTTTGCATTTTGGTACAGTAACCTATACTATTGCAATTTGTTCCAAATAAAATTAATATATTATAATAAATAAGAATACAATATTCTATACGGTATACATTAGGTATTGTTTTTAAAAATATAATTATGCTATTCTACCTTTACCTTTTACTTATTAGTTTAGAAAATCTATCAACTGCTTCATCTAAGTTTACTTTGTTAGCATCTTCTTTTTCTTCAGCTATGATTATTAAATCGCTTAATCGTTCGTCACCCATTGAAGATCTAAGATAAGTTTTTACTCTTTTGAGTGAAGAAAAAACCTATCATTTGATACAGCACTGGAAGATAGTGTTTAAAAAAAAACGATTGAACCCTGTCGGCGCATAATAAATTGTAATTCAGGCCAATAAGACACAGAAAAAAATAGGGGAGCCTATGCGCTACCCCAAATGGCGCCCCTGATTTTACTGAATATGAACTTAACTGGAATTTTTATAAATTAKGTAGTAGCATCAATCACAGTCGTCATTAGAATTGTATGCAAACGTCTTTTATGTTTCTAAAAAACTTTCAAACACATTAGTTGGATGTTGAATTAACTGAACGCCACCATTTTTCCTGTAGTTGCCTTTCGAATAAGTTGGTTACCTACTCCACGTGATCTTAAATTATATTTTGCTTTTTCGTGTCTCCATAAGGCATAAACACTCAATTGTTTGTGTTTAACTGTTTGAGCACTTCTTTGCGGGCTTATAAAGTTCTCTGGTTAACAGTTTAGTGATGAAAATTGTGATATTTCTTTGTTTGATGTAAATGTATTAAAAATAGAATGGGAAAATGTATAGATAACTTTATTAATATAGATAGCATACGGCATGTGTACCGAATAAATAAAATATAATTATTATGCATATCAAGAAAATAATAACAATGGTATTTTGTTACGTAAAGGACAACATTTTTTTTTAACTAGTTAGTTTTATTTAAAACAGTGGTGAAGTCACAATTTGGCGGTCGGACTTATAGTTTCGAAGTTAAACTAGTTAAAGCCGTTGGAAGTTTGACGTTAACGGTATATTGGCGACTGGCGTACTATCCCTCAATTAGTTATAACTTATAATCCTCGCTCTTACCTAACAAGCAATCGATATTGAGTTTTTAATATTTTTAATATTAATTATTAAATTAATATAGAATATAGTATCTKAGGGTATTGAAAATATTACATAAGTAATAATATATTATAATTTATAAATATTAATATTGAAATTAATCGCCTACGCATACCTACGTCAGTGGTGTATTTTGGAGGGGTCAAGGCAGTGTTGTAAAGTATTTGAGTAAATGTATTTGTATACTTTTATAGTATTTAGAATACTGTTTAAATACTTTTTGGTTTAAGTATTTGGAAATTATTTTAGATACTGTCTTGGACGTATTTGTATTTGAAAATCAAATACTTTTATACTAACATTTTTGAAAATTCAAACA